GGCACACAGAACTCCCACGACAAACAGAAAATATATATCGATGATTGGTTGGTTGTATGCTTACCGTTGAACATTACCTAGGGCCACCTCTGTATACAACGCTAATAGTGCATCAACGTTAAAACTGAAGCAAAAGAATGCAAACAGGAATAATGCTTCGCCAGGCATTTATACGAACAACTAATTTTAATTTTGAAATGTAAGATAGGACTACAGTTGTTATGTCTTTTATCTTCCTTCAGACAGTCAATCCAAGTCAGAAAAAATGACCTTTTTAAATAAAAATTAAAAAAGAGAAAGCTTTACATGGTACAGTTGCAAAAAAAACAAAAAGCTGTGGGAACGAATCCAAATGTAAGAGTCGGACGTACAGTATCGGGTACACCTAGCTTCCGTTTCTCCCAAAAAGAGGACCAAATAGATACTCCACTAAAAGCACAAACAGCCAAAAGCAACAGCAAAGCCCCATTCAATTGCACAGAGGGGAAACCAGAGAACCCTTCGCCGGTTTAGCATCGCTTGCGGGATCACCATATCGAGTACAATCGTCATGCAAATACAGTTATAACAGAGCCACGGGAGAGAAAAGAGAGGGATAGAAAGAGAGAGAGAGAAAGGAATTGCACATATGTATTGTCGAAGGCTTTCATGGCCGGAATCACTGGGTTGTTGTAGGTTTTTAATATCCTTTGCAAAACATGAAGGCATTTCTTTGGCCTCTAACCTCCGTCTTGTTAGCTATTCTCACACTCCTTCGAACTCTAAATTCCAAATCTGTGGAATGACCAGGGTAAATCCAGACAAACAAATTCAAGTCCCTTGCTTGAAACGAGAAGTTGCACTGACACAAGTTTGCTCGCAAATATCCTTTGCAAAACATGAAGGCGTTTCTTTGGCCTCCAACCTCCCTCTTGTTAGATATTCTCACACTCCTTCGAACTCTGAATTCCAAATCTGTGGAATGACCAGGGTAAATCCAGACGAACAAATCCAAGTCCCTTGGTTGAAACGAGAAGTTGCACTGACACAAGTTTGCTCTCAAACATTCTGTTTAATATCCTTTGCAAAACATGAAGGCCTTTCTTTGCCCTCCAACCTCCCTCTTGTTAGCTATTCTCACACTCCTTCGAACTCTGAATTCCAAATCTGTGGAATGACCAGGGTAAATCCAGACAATCCAAGTCCCTTGGTTGAAACGAGAAGTTGCACTGACACAAGTTTGCTCGCAAATATCCTTTGCAAAACATGAAGGCGTTTTTTGGCCTCCAACCTCCCTCTTGTTAGCTATTCTCACACTCCTTCGACCTCTGAATTCCAAACGGTCAGCTCGATCTAAGGTTCCCGCTTCATCAAGGTCAGTCTGTTCGTTAGTGCTTTCTCGCTCATTATCAGGCTGAGAACAACTGTCCTCCCTTTCTGAATCAACCTGCAGCTGGCTAGTTTCATTGTCAACAATGTCATTATTTGCTGTGGGAAACCGAACTTCCTCACCCTGTTCGTCATTGTCTATCACAGGGATATTTTGAACCTGTGAACCTGAATCCCATCATCCTCATCAGAATCATTGGCACTATCACTTTGTGGTTCCAGCTGAGTCATTTGAATGTTTCAAATGACCACCTTAATTAGCATTTGATGGCCTGGCAGTTTTTTGGTGTGGCTTGTTAGTGCCTGGGGGAATCTTTTGTTGAGAGGTGATGAGCAGTCCCTGATTGTTTCCTCTCTGTCGTTATTAAAAAAACTCTAAAATTACAGAGAGGAAACAATCAGGGGCAGCTAATCACCTCTCAACAAAAGATTGCCCCAGGCACTGCCAGGCCATCAAATGCTAATCAAGGTGGTCAGTTGAAATATTCATGGAAGGCGTTTCTTTGGCCTCTAACCTCCCTCTTGTTAGCTATTCTCACACTCCTTCCAACTCTGAATTCCAAATGAACTTCCAACAGACAAGAGTTCTCTGTCCCACCCTGGAAATTCCACATATATATAAACCCAATTTTCCTAGTTCCAACAGACCTCGCAACCTCTGAGGATGCTTCCCAAAGATGCAGGTGAAACGTCAGGAGAGAATGCCTCTAGAACATGGCCATATAGCCCGAAAAAAAAACCTACAACAACCCAGAATTGCACATAACTTTGGCCATTTTTTGAAAAAATCATTGTCACTTCTTTAAAAGTCATTGAAGACGAGATTCTCCGTTCCTTCATTACCTTCTAACTCAAAAACCCAGCAACCCACAAAGCAGAAGGTTTAAAAAAGTGGACATATGCGATCTCACTGAAAACAAATTTGGCGTAGTCGGCAGGATTTCCGAGCGTGTGACAATCGCCGTAACGAATCATATAAGCAGTCTTGCAATCCAAAATAATAATTAATAATAAAAGCTAATACAGAGTTTGTTCTAAGACGTTTGGAAGTAAAAGACACAGCTTCTTTCAGTCGGGATGGTTTTATTGGTTTTGTTTTTCTACAGCAGTGGGAAGAGGAGGCAGGCAGCAGCAACAAGAAAGGAGGAAGGGGGGAAAAGAAGAAGGAAGAGGAAACGGTTTTAGAATATACAGCATTTCCGTTTGGGTTGAGTTTCCGGAGGCTCGAGGGCCGCTAGGATGGCCTCGTCGAACACATTCTTCAGACCTCTCTATAACAGGAAAAGACAGACAGAGGGGAGGAGGAAGAAAAAAATAGGAGGCAGGTTAGTTATAGAGGGTGAGAGAGACACAAAGCGGACACAAAAGAGCATCATTCAGGACAAAAAAGCAGATTTACTTTTGCGGGAAAAGTAGATCTCGGAAGGAGGAGAAAAGGGACGGGTAAGCTGCGCGGAGGGTTAGCACGGGAGGAGGAGGAGAAGGAGGCCAACACACACTGAGGTCTTCCTTTGTGGATTTTCATTTTTCGCGGGTGGTCCTGGAACATAACACCCACGATAAGTGAGGTAACAAAGTGTGTGTGTG